AACTGGTAGAACAAGCCGCAAAACATGTTTCGACAACTAAAGCAAGAGACGTACCAGGAACGTCCTTGAGGGGATAATCTGTCTTCCAATGTCCTGTCTTGTTGCACTTGAAGCACTTGCCTTTCGGCTTCACCACGCCACCAGAAGGCGCTACAGCTTTGCTCCCACCATTCCCACTGCTCCCACTGGTTCCACCACTCTTTTTCTACACTTGCCTTTTCTTCTTCCCGCCTTTCGACGAAGAAGGTCCAGCTTGTACAGAAACATGAGCCTGTGGTCCCCTCCCCATAAGACCCTCCGCTGTAACCAAGTCCGTAAGAAGCTCGGCTAGAGTATAGCCCTTCTTATTCATGATTGCATTCAGGCGGAAGTTCTTATAGGACTTCGGGAGCGAGTGCATGATGATATCGATCTTGGCTTCGCCATCAATAATTCCTCCGAGCACATCTATCTCATTCAGATATTCCATCATCTTGAGAACATGCTCTCGCACAAAAACTCCCTCTAGCATGACAGAAGACATAATCTTCCTCATAGCCTCAAAACGAGCAGCCTTATCTTGCTCACCAAAGAGTTCCTTGAGGCTCAACATCATGTCAGCAGCAGTAGGCATGGTGTGATGCTGTTGTTACAAAACATTTGACATAGATTCCAAGATGTAGCAACGAGCCATCTCATCAGCCTTATGCCACTCCCGATGAGTCTCCCTTTCCTCTTCAGTAGATTAAGCGCTCAAAGGAGCATGAGCAGGAGTAGTGAGCACAAACTTGTACTCATCAGCAACAAGGACAATATCCAGATTTCTCTTCCAGTCCAAATAATTTGGACCAGTAAGCTTGTTTTGATTGAGAATGACCATAAGCGGATTAAATGACATGATGAATAACTGAAATAAATAATTGCAAACACATAAGCAACAATTCAATAAATATGAAGCATAAAATATGAAAACCTTCAAAAACCATCATTTAATGCAACCTCCGACAACTTAACGAACACACATGCAAGCCACGTTGGGTGGACGTTTACACATATTTTAATTAAGCAGACACTCAGTCATTAATCTCAATTGCACGCCAACCTGTCCTTATGGCGAATGAAATTAATTGTCAAAATTTTAACACTGGCCATGTAAATCAAAACAGGGACTCCGTTGGGGAGTTATATTAAAATTCACATCTAAGTGGTGACCACAATTTAACCCCAAGAACAACCATTCCACAATTGATGGACCTACCGATGGGGAAGACACATCGCTTGTAAATAATTTTCTACGGTTATCTCGAAATCATCTTTACCGGTGAGCTTATGAATGACACTGTCCGTTAGGGAAAAGACCCCATGGGTCACACGTATGCCACTCACTTCACCTAAAGATTAAGTCGTTTGAATAGAAGTCTTATCTAGTAAGCTCGTGAATGTCGCATCCGTTAGGGGGAAACTCCTAGGGTCCCGCGAGCGACAAACACCTTACTTAAAGACCAATTGTGGAGGCCAAATGAATTAATTAAAATTTATATTAAACTCACTTAGTCATTTTACTTGAAGGTTTTTAACAGCATGCAATAAGAAATAATAAAATTCCTATCATGCTCCTAACACGCAAATCACATAAATCCTAGCATGCTCCTAAAATTAAAAAAAAAAGCAATAACAACTTTCTAAGAATTTATAGCACCTATTCACATGATTTCTAGGATGCCAAAAATTTGATTTAAACCAGCTAGACACATAATCAAATAAACATGCTCTAGCAAAATTAAATCGACATCCACAAAGCGATAAAAAATCCAAAAATTAAAACACATCTATCGCAACCCCTTTAAAAACAACCACTAATAGCCTATCAAAAACTATTACATGATTCAACAAGGTCATGGATGAACACTCGAATCGGCATCTCGCATAAATCGGGTCATTCATGCAATATCGACACCCACCGACGGAAAAGGGCCGAAAACTTCATCTAGACGATTGAATTTGACCCCACCACAGGTTATCACGGCTAAGCTGTGATATGTGTAGATCTCGCTCTCCCGTTTCCGAAATGGTATTATGGGCTGAAATCGGACACCTGTAGCAAAAGTTATGGCCAAAACGGTTTTCGCCGATGAAAGTGGCCCCGGTGAATGCTGAAACCCTAGCCGCCGCCTCCAAGATGATCATATTTCTTCACGTTCGACTTTGAACACAAAATTACAGCAAAATCGAACAAGAACAGCCCTACTACAGTCTACAAAATCGCCTATACTATCCACACTTATTATCTGATGGGAAAAACGATTACAATCATATACAAGGGCTGCGATAGACATCATCCAGAAGCATAAACGAGATAAACAATCATCCATACCATGAACATGACTGTAAACGAGTAAATGAATGAACGAAATCAACTACATGTTCCAGGCAGAGCCGATAATCTACGAAACCGAGGCTCTGATACCAATTGCTGGAACTCGCCGACGAGGCGGTCCTTCCCACGGATCGATATCGGATACCAAACACATACATACATGATTTCAAATTACCCTAAGCATGCTCCTAAAGTATGAACATAGAAATACCTTTCTTCGAGGCTTTGGTTCGATCTAAGCGATCTTCTAGTCTGTGTCCCGACCACGTTTGGAAGCCGGATGAACGATGATCAACCAAACGGTTGAAAGGAGCAGATTGTGTTTCGTCTTCTCCGAACCCTTCGCGTGACTTTCTCCTCACGATGGTGGCTGAAGGTGCCACGTTTTGTGATGCTGCATAGGGTTCAAGACGTGTAATCCTTCCTTTTATAGAGGTCCTTGGGCGAGCCTAGGGATCTCTTAGAATGTATAGGGTTTGGGCTCCCTACAGGCCCAAATTCTTATGTTCACCCCAGAACACAACTTGGCCCGTAAATATTAATTCATTCCACTAGAGAATTAATATTGCACTCCCGTCCTATCCCAAAATGAATCAGGGCTTCTATTAGACTCGATATAATTCCCCGTGTTTAAGATATCGCACGTCCATTAATTATTAAAGCTTCTAACTGCTTTAATTAATCAATATCTTTTATTCCTTAAGTAGTACCACTCAACCTTATTATCGTCCGGATTAAATATACCTGCAGGGTTTATACGATAATCCTTATGAGTTCCTTAAGGGGACGTCATCAACCTGGATGTCCAGGACACGGTGCCCTAATGCCAATAAATAGATATCATGCAGATAATGTTGTTACCCAAGATACAGAGCATATTGAACCAATACTGGCTCTCACCCATGGTAAATTAAAGTAACAAACAAATATCCCACATATCTAAGTATGACAATTAAGGTTAAGAATTAGTAGAGTCACTGAGACCTAGGTTCTTCATGATAGTCAGAACAGAAGAACACGTCTCAACTGTGATCCATTTAATGCAACGCAGCGCACTAGTATAAACCAATAGCCAAGACAAGTTATATCCAGTTTATACTACAACATAAACCGATAGTCATGTCCATAACTATCTCAGTTGTGAATACCATTTATATTTTATAAGGGACCGACAATGTAATCTTCTGTGTGACTACTAACACACCACATTGTCTACAATATAAGATAATTGGACATTTAGCATACAAGCAATCATAAAGAATGCAACAATGTGAAAACATTTATTTCAGTCAAATGGGAAATCGAATAAATACAATCCAAAGGTCACATAAAAGTTTGCTTTACTGTATACCCCAACAAAAATACAACAATAATGATACTTATTTCAGCAAAAGTAGCGAATCTGAATGATATAATATTTAAATAAGTTTCCAAAATATTTATCTCTACACGATTTTTCAAATAAGTTGGACATGATTTCCAAAGATTTACTACATAACAATGAATATCCAATTCCTAAAGGAAGCTAATGATCAAAATGTGAAGCAAAAATCTCAGCTGCTAGTTTTTCACGCCAATAGGAGAGGGACAACATTCTTCTTGCCAAGCGAGAAGGCCTAAGGAAGGAGACGAACGTTCTTGCTAGGGAGGAAAACAAACGTTCTTGCCCAGCAAGAGGCCTATGAGAGCGTAAGGACAGGGACGACAGTCGTCTGTTTACTTTCGATGGTTCTTGACGAGTGCGAGGGTAAAACAGAGATTGGCGTGGGAGTTAGGAACAAAATTGAAGAGGAAGATGACTGAAATTGGTTGTTGTTTTTTTTTTTTTTTTTTCGGAACGATAAAAAATATATTAAAACTAAAAACCACATAATTACAGTCAGACAGCAGCCAAGCAGCTGAATTTAGGATTCTTACACGAAGGTAGCCTAGAAGCAACTACACTAACTCACCCACAATCAACAAACTATACAACTCACAACAAGAGAATAACACGCTCTCAACATGAGATAAAACACTCCCAAACATGAGAAAACATAACAACACTAACAACCAAAACACAAAACAACCATAACACTAAACAACACAACACACTGAAGTTGGGGTTGGAATTCCGTTTTACTCCCTCTATTTTTTTATGCATGTCGTTGTGGAATGCCAATTTTCTTTTTCAAATTAGTTGTCGTCATAAATGTTCTATTCATTCTTTCAATTATATCCTCTTTAACAAATTTTAGCAGAATCACCTATAAACTTTCTCTCTTATCAATATCTTTAAAAAAAACTCTTTAATAATTCAAACACTAAATTTAATAGGATTAGTATATAAGATAATTACACAACTCATTAAAATTGTAATTTAGAAATTTTAAATTAAAACGAAATCTAAAAAAAGCACAAAGAGTATTTGTTTTAAGTGGGGAGTAAGAACTTGGAAATTGAAAAGGATATATGGGCCTTTTCTTATATTATGAAGTTTTCAATTAATTTTATACAATTTTGTGGGTCGAAAGTGTTAAACAAATTCATGTTTATGTTTTGAGAAGGCTATTTAAGGAATTCCCACCGCCGCTCCCTTCGAATCCCTACCCTCCACCACAGCCATCACCGCCGGCAATTGGTCTCTCCGTCGCGCTCCGTTCACATGGGTGAGCAGGCCCACGTCCAAATCCACAACCCACCCAAACCAGAGTTTCATTCGCAGGTCTCGATGGAACCCTCTGAGGCACCA